TTGGCAACTTTCCAAAATTACTCGGGAAGGCTCGCAGCCTTCTATTTATAGGGGGAGGCTTCGGACCGAGGGGGCAGGTGGCAGCAGCAGCGAAGGGCAGGTGGCTCCAGGTGGCTCGCATGTGAGGCTCCAGATGGATCGTGCGAGGGTCGGACACGCGAAGGCACGCGTTGACTTCGGATTGGACCTGCGCTTCGGATGTGAGGGTTGCGACAAGCGGGTCGGACACGAGGCAGCTTCTGATTGGACCGAACCTCGGACTCGAGAAGAACGTGAAACGCCTCGCCAGGTGGCCTCGGATGACTCAGCAAATCGGGCACGTGGCGTGCTACGATCGAGGTTGACGTGGCCGAAGCATGACCAAGCGAAATTTCTCGGATTTTGGGATTTTCTCGATTTTTGTGTCCCGAACTTCTAAAATCCATAACTTTCGCATACGGGCTCCGTTATTGACATTCTTTATATGCACGCGTAGGTAAATATACGCTCTAAAACTTTCGTTTAGACTTCATCGACTAATTTTGACTTTAATTTTTATATTATTATTTTTAACAGACCGGGACAGGAAATCCGTTAAAAATTCATAACTTCTTCATCTGACGTCCATTTTCGTCTGTCTTTTTACCGTTGTACTACTATTGACGAGACCTTCGATTCTCGTTTAGGTTGTGTCGGCTAAAAATCACTCGATCCAAAATTCGAGTTTTTAGTTGTCTACTGCTAAGCTGAAACTTAGAAAAAATCATAACTTCCTCATACGAAGTCAGATTTGGACGTTCTTTTTATACATACTCTCGGTTTAACGAACACTAAGACTTTCATTTAGATCACTAAGGCTAAAAAGTAGTTTATCAAAAACTCACTTTTTACGTCATTCGGCACTGTGCCGGTTTTGTCGCGAAACTTCGACAGGTCATAACTTCTTCGTTATAACTCGGATTTCGGTATTCTTTATATATCTGGAATCCTTGTCGCGACCACTACAACTTTCTTAATAGATATTTGCTTTATCTAATATTTATTTTCGACGCTCATTTTTATTCTTAATTAATTAAATCCTAATAATTAAGCATAAAACAAATAATTCACATAATAATCACATAATTCCTCTTCATTTCTTCAAAATGAGTTACAAAGGTTAACCTAGACTATTACGTCAATATTAATGCCTAGCCTAGAAACATGGGCGTTACAGTTGAGCATTTCTTGGGTTGTCACCTCAGATCTGGCCATTTGGTGGCCTCATTTGGCTTAAAGTTGCAAGCTTTATTAGGTTCTAGGCCTCATTCATGCATTAAGTTCCTTATTAAGCCTTTCATGAGTTCTAGAGCTTCTTTTGGCATGCATGAACGTAAAGTTGGCAACTTTACATGGTTTTCCATCCCCCAGAGTACCAGATCTACATCTTGAAGCATTAGATTCGATAAAAAGGACTGAATGTGTTAAGCTGGGAAAACTCGGCGAGTTGGTTAGGTTTTTCCCGACCTTCTGAGTACCGAGGAAACTCGACGAGTTTGTGGGTGCACTCAACGAGTTGGGTCAACATGGACTGTTGACATTGACCTTTGACTTTGACTTTGACCAAAGCTGACCTTTGAGGGCATTTTGGGTATTTCAGGGTTTTAATGAAATTGGTCACATGGTGGTTGTACGCATTCGATTCGGGAGTTGAAATTCGGAGTTAGATCATATCAGTTCAGCTACTTGTAAGGTGAGTTTTCCTCACTGTACTTTCGGGTCAAAGGCACCAAGGCCGACCCATTGGTTTGATAACTAGATATTTGTTGATATGCTGAGTATGGAGTATATATGCATGCTAGATTTGATATGTTAGTCTGGTAGATCTGTAGAACTACCTGTGATACTGTCTGTTTATCTGTATATGATATTATATGTTATATATCGACATATTCTATATGTTGGGTTGAGGTTGTATTGCTCTGTGTTGTAGCCAACAAACCCTGGAGTATGTCAGATATGAGCTGCGGGCCAGGGAGGGCATGCCAGACTCATACTGAGGACTCATGAGCATTCCAGATACCGGATGAGTGCTGGAAAGGGCATGCCATACTCGTACTGAGGACTTAACGGTGTTCGGTCCAAGGACTGACCAGGCCGGGGAGCAAGCCAGATATAAGCTGTGGGCCGAGGGCAAGCCAGACTTATGTTGTGTGCTCAGGGGTAATCCAGTAAGTTAAGTTGTGGACCCATTACATGTTGTTATTATATTTGTGCTATTTGTTATGTATCGGTATTTTAGGAGAACTCACTAAGCTTTAGGCTTACAGTTTGGATTGTGTTTCAGGTACCTTAGAGGATCGCGGCAAGGCGAAGGCGTGATCGTGCACCCCCTCATGTTTTGGTTTTACGATTTTGGGATTTCTCTGATGTGAAACTTATTTTGGAAACAATTTGTAAACAATGTTGGTTTTTTGGTTGTTTAAAAAGTTTAAAATTTTCAAGAATTTTATGAATGTTACAAAAATCCCCGTGCTAACAACATCAAATAATATTCAATCAATAATTGGGTTAGAAACCATAACTGGGATCCTAGTCCAACTATCCAATATTCAGCGTAAAAGACCATTTTACCCCTTCCTAACATGGCCCAAAATCCAAGGCCCAATCCAATAGCACCAAAAAGCCCAATAGGTCCCAACATTCTCAGTACGCCTAAAACCCATCATGGGCGTAATTCCAAGAAGGCCCAAAACCTAACAATGGCCCAAAAAATCAGAAGTCTGATGGCCCAAAACTCTTCTAGCCCAAAAATGGTCCAAACCGAGAAAGTCAACAGAAGTCAACGGCAGCTGAGTACGCATGCCGTACTCAGGCTTACACCCAGCATACTACCAAACGAATCATGATCGGGGACTGGGCAGCGTACACATATGTACGTCCAGCGCACGTGCCCATGAAGCATTTTTCCATTAAGTGCTTATACTTGCAACCAAAAGCCCAAACTTCAGATCCAAGTATTAACAAACGTCTTAATCCATAAAGTCATGAACTTGGATCCTTTACATGGCTCAAAAGGACCCAAACCTCACTTTTAGCATTTTACTTTCACCATAATGACCTAAACACATGCATGGTTGATCCATAATCATCAAGATGCTAACTTTATAGACTAAGAACCTCAAAAACATCAAGAGAATCAACTACTAACTTCTGGAGTGGAAGGAATCCACTAGATCTCATCATATAACCAAAATGGGACCAAAACTTCATAAAGACTAGATCTAAGCAAACAAGGAGCAAGTTCCAAGCTTTATACCTCAATGAAGCTGGAAATAATGTGAAAAATCTGGATCTACAATATCTCCTTTGAACAAGGCTCCTTCTTCCAAGTTCTTCTTCTTCAAGTCTCACCAACACACACTAAAACACACACTAGACGGTCAAATCTCTTGAAAAGTGGCTAGGGTTTAAAATGTGACGTAAAGGGCTTTGGAGGCTGAGAAATGAGAGGTCCAAGATTCATAATGTTGTTTAAATAGGGTCAAAACCCTAAAATTTAGGGTTTGTCCCCTGCATGTGTACGCCCGGCGTACTACTAGTTTTCTAAAAATGGCAAAACTGTCCCTTAGGGGGCAAACCTACAAAGTAATTACATACCAAATGTCAAAAATGAAAATACATTGAATCAGGTGTTACAGTAGATGTGCTAAAAGAGAAATTAATATATATATATCTTAATGCATTAAGTCACTTTAAAAAAACAATGTCACACGAAAAAGTTTTTGGGTCGGAAAGAATCTTTGGATTTATAAAAGAACATAACTAACTATATGTGTATATATATATATATATATATATATATATATATATATATATATATATATATATATATATATACATATAGTTAGTTAGGTTCTTTTATAAATCCAAAGATTCTTTCGTGTGACATTGTTTTTTTAAAGTGACTTAATGCATTAAGCCATTCGTATAGAAGTAGATTCGCGGAAAAAAATGCATATATAAAAGGTGTATATATGTATAAACATCGAAAATGCTATGTTCGAAAAAAAATGCAACTTTCATATATGCTTATTTTTCAGATTTTTTTACGAATGTGTTTCTTTAGGATCGATTTAATTTTTTAAATAACTTTTTTTTAGTTCGCGTGTTAGCAATTTTAGCGTTCGCAAATGAATATATATATATATATATATATATATATATATATATATATATTATATAGAGAGAGAGAGAGGGAGGAAGGATCATTTGAGAACTCATATATTCCCGAGAACCAAACAAGAGTCGTTAGATCAAAATAATAGAAGGTCAAGATGATTTGTGGCATTTTTGTAAATAATTAGAAATAAATAAGGCGGGGGTACCTTAATAAAATGGACCAGAGGACATTTTTGGGATAAAATAATTTACTTCATTGAATCAGATTGAATACGATGGTTAAACAATATGCTTATACTATTTCCCTGCATCTCTCTCTCTCTCTCTCTCTCTCTCTCTCTCTCACACACACACACACACACTCTCTCTCTCTCTCTCATCCCGCCTCCGGCCGTCTCACCTCCGGCCATCCATATTTGATTATCTCCATATTGTTGACGACATCTGGTTTAACCAAATATGTGTTTCTAGTGAGTCAGATGCCCAAAATCGACAAAGATTAGCCGAACATTACTTATACAGTGAAGTCGAATCCTTAATCTCTCATCGATTGTCTCCCTCCTCCCTCAATCGTCGGCGTTCGTGTTTATTTTTTATTGCGATAGGCGAAGCCCTAAATCGATCCTTCCCTAATTTCGGACCTCGCGATTTGTATCTTGTTATCTCCAAGCTTTTCAAACCCAAGCTTCGTGATTCATCGGAGAAGCAAGATCGTCACCTGCTAGGGTTTTGTAATTTTACAGACAGATCTCAAGTACGCGCATGTTTTATCCAAAATTAGCTTTAACATTTTCGGTTTTTCTTCGATTCGTACACTAGAGATTTTATGTATACTTTTGGGATGAACTCTCAGATTAAATATGCAAACGGAAGCGACGGTGGGGGTAGTGGAAGGCGGTGGACCCGCTCGTAAATTGGTAATGCATCACCAGAGGCCAGTGCAACAGCAGCAATCTCAGGTAGGGACGGTGTCTCAGCTCATAGCCGGTGGTGTTGTCAGAGCCGTTAGCAAGACCTGCACTGCACCTCTAGCTCGCCTCACTATACTTTTTCAGGTTTTCTTTTATATCCTTCTTAATTTTTATATTTCATACACTTTAATCAGTGACCTGAGACTTATTGTTGATTGATTTGGGAAATATGTTGGAAATCGAAAATTAATCAGAGCTCATGTATCTCAAGCTTTAATTTCTTGATTCTACAAGTGCAAGGTATGCATTCTGATGTTTCTACATTAAGAAAAGCCAGTATATGGCTTGAAGCAACACGTATAGTCAATGAAGAAAAGGCATGGTCAAATTCAAAGAGCTTTTTACATAGAAAAAGCTTTTATTGTGGAATCTTTCAATAGAGCGAGTCCAAACTTTTTAACAGATTATTATCTGTTGCAGCCTGCAGAGTTAAAGAGTCTGGCATCCTGAATCTTTTGGACAAATGGTAAGTTGGTGCAATTAATTTGTTTTTAGATGATTATATTCAAAGCCTTTCAATTGAAATTTGATAGCAAGAGATGTTTAAAATATAAGGCTTCATTAGCTATTTGGTGGACCCTATCAAACTTTGCAATTTATGTAAAAAGAAAAGCCAAATACATAAAAATCCCACCTGTGCTGAAAGGCGTGTTCTTACAAGATCCAAAGGGTATGTGACAAAAGCAGCTAAGCTAAACCACCACCTGCAAGGCGTATACACAAGTCTTCACTTATATTTGTCCCATTGCTCTTTACATAGACAAACATGGTATACAATCGCCACAAACATATAAGCTTCTGAAATGGTAATTCCTAATGTATGTATTTGGCTATTTAAAATGAAAAAGAGAAACTCATTACACTAAACAAAAGTCACCAAAAATTGAGCAATCAATGCATGAGAATGATCCCATAGACATTCTCAAAATCTGAATTTATTCAAATTGTTAATAAAAGTTTCCTTGATAATAGATGCTCTAGCTTTAGTTTGGAACTATATTTTTTATGCCCTAATTCCTAAATTGTTATCTTTTTGAAATCTAGTTTTATCAAGAAACATTTCTATCATGAAATCAAAATCAAAATCATAACTTGATAAATGGGTATTTGCAAGTGCAGGGTGTTGATGGTGGAGATATAATTTCAAATTTAAGAAGTGGTGTGGCAGCTGAAAAAGCGTTGGCCATAATACAAGAGAGGGGTTTCTCCAATAGAAGGTCTAGGCATAGGTTGACACCTGGCATTGTTAAATATGCAGATTTTCATGTTCTTTCATTCGAGGGTAGCCATTGTCTTTCAATTTTAGATGTGGTTGAAAAGATCCAGGTATAGATTATGATTTGGATTGATTCCATTCTCTTTCTTTTTGACTTAATGGACTTATCATAGTGACTTAATAATGTATTTGTAGAAATCTGGTTTAAGGGATCTAACAACAAGCAAAACACCAGAGGCCTCAATAGCTGCTACATTATCACGTTGGTGATTCCATTCTCTTGATGTTTTTCTGCCTACTCAATTTGGTTTTTGTATCACAATTACGAGCGGTTAATTAGATCATTTATTATGTTTGTAGTGTTATTTTGTTGGTTATTTGGAGGCTGCCATCTGCTCATCATGTTATAGCTGTTGGATGGTTATATATATCTCTCTTCATTTGTCTGGATTAATTCATTCCTTTTGTTGGTAAATGAAATGAAACACCCGATAAACCTGAATAACATAAATCACATATGAATTACATGTGATTCACATGTAAATCACATGTAATTCACATATGAATCACATGTGATTCACACGTAAATCACAATTACACGTGATTCACATGTAAATCACATATGAATCACAAGTGATTCACACGTAAATCACAATTACACGTGATTCACATGTAATTCACATATGAATAACCTGTAATTCACATGTAAATCACAAGTTGGTCACATATGATTCACATGTAAATCACATGTAATTCACATATGAATCACATGTGATTCACACGTAAATCACAATTACACGTGATTCACATGTAAATCACATATGAATCACAAGTGATTCACACGTAAATCACAATTACACGTGATTCACATGTAATTCACATATGAATAACCTGTAATTCACATGTAAATCACAAGTTGGTCACATATGATTCACATGTAAATCACATTTACATGTGATTCACATGTAAATCACAGGTATTTTACATGTAAATCACATATGATTCACATGTAAATCACATGCGATCCATATGTAAATCATATGTGATTCACATGTAAATCACATGTGAATCGCATGCGATTCATATGTGAATCGCATGGGATTAATATGTTAATCACGTATTTATTTTTGTGAGTGTTTATGCATCAATCATTTTTTTGTTTAATTTTCTTGTAGATTTGGAAAAAATCGTGGTGAATATTGAAGAGGTGAAAAATGATAAATTGAAGAAAATATGGAAATATTGACACGAAGACATGAAAACGCTTTGAAATTTGTAGCATTTTTTATATTTTATTTTGTATCGAATAAAATACTTGTACTATTATGTTTATAGATTAATTAATAAAAATGATATTTTTTGTGATTTACTTACGATAGTATAAGAAATATACATATATGCATTTGAAAAAATATGCATATATGCACCTAAATATTTACTTTTTTTTAAAAAAAATGCAGTTTTTTTTTTTGAAAAATTACAGCTTTTTTTAAATGCAGCTTTTTTTTTTGAAAAAATGAAACTTTCTTTGAAAAAATGCAGTTTTCTTTAGAAAAATTGCAGTTTTTTTGAAAAAAAAAATGTAGTTTTTTGAAAAAATTGCAGTTTTTAAAAAAAAATATATTTTTTTCAATTTTTTTTTCAAAAATTCATGTTGTCTATAAAAAATTAAAAAAACTGCAGTTTAAAAAAAACGAAAAATACTATATTTAAAAAAATCTGAAAATTTGATTTATGATGTAAATTTTTAGACATTTATATTAATATATTAAATAACACAAAAAAATTAAGCATTAAATGAGATTGGTAAGATGACGATCATGTCCTTAAGGAATTAATTTTGATCCAACGCTCCACTTTTAGTTCTTGGGTTTTCGGGAAAATATGAGTTCTCAACCGATCTCAACCCTGTATATATATATATATATATATATATATTATATATATATATATATATATATATATATATATATATATATATATATATATATATATATAGGGTTAGGTTATTTTGTTTCTAGTAACTATTGTGTGCCAGAATACACAGATCTGGACCATTGGATGGAATATAATCAAAGGTCATGATCTAAGGGTCTATGATAGTAGAATAGGATAACATGTACCATATAATCACACAAATTTGAGCATAAGGGCATTTTAGTCAATTAACCTATATTAAAAAAGGAAATTTTCGGATTTTTAGGGATAATTAATTCCTTTATTTTTAAAAATCTGAATATTTTAAATTAATTTAAAATTAAAAATTTGATTTTATTCTGTCAGAATGATAGAATTAACCATAAACTAGTAAATATATTTTTCGATTTTATTCTGTCAGAATGACAGAATGCCAACCATAAACTAGTAAATACATTCTGAAAGAATACACAAAATCGATTCTTGAACTAATAATATACCAAATAATTACATTGTATGATTGTGATTCATTGAATAATAACAAACATTCTGAAAGAATAACAAGTATAATTCTTAAAAAATAACAACATTCTTAAACAATGAGTGTTATCATTCTTTAATTCATTCTTAAAGCCTTTTCCATCAGGTCTTCAAGCCATTCTTCAAGCCATTTCTATCAGAAATTCATTGCCAAGTAATTTGTAGTGATACACTTGTAACAACTGCACAGTAAACATACAAATAATTAACTACAATTCTATCAAAATACAACAATAATATTCTTACAGAATAAACTATTCTTGCAGAATGGTTTTGAATATTCTTAAAGAATTGATTTTATCAAGAATATACAATTGTAGTTAAAATGCCTCCTGCTTCATCTTCAGAATCTTTAGCTTCAGCCTCCATCTCCAGCTCATAACCACTGTAGTTAAAATGAAAAAGCAACCAACATTAAATTTCTAATTCATCTATTTTATTAACTCCATAAATGTAACATCCGGATTCCCAGGTATCTTATTTTGAGTATTTATGTTGAGTTTTAGAGAGGGACTCGGCGAGTAGGCGCTCAGAGTCGCCGAGTGGGATCGCGTATTTCTTGTCTGATTTAATGAAGGACTCGACGAGTCGATGCGTAGACTCGGCGAATCCGCGCTGTAAAATGAAACCCTAATTCTCGGGGTATGTGCCCTATTTAAAGGCCTTTATAGCCTCCATTTGCGGCCAATGCACCCCTGAGAAACCCTAGAGAGCAGAGAGTAAGCTTGTGGTGCAAGAGGAAGGCTAATTCACCATTTCTTGTGTGTTTTAGCAAAGGAGAAGTGGTTTCCAACAAGAGGAGGTCAAGGGAGCTGTGGATCCAGGGTTTTCAAGTTCAGATCTACACTATTGAGGTATCAAATCGAACTTCCTTTCTGTTTTGGGTTAAGAACTATGATTTAGGGTTTTCTATAAACCTTTTAAGGCTTGAAAGTTGAGTTTATGGTCCCTTGCTGGGTTAGACCTCAGATCTGGACCTATAGAGGTTCAGAGAACCTTTCTCGTTCTGCTTTATGTTTGTTCATGGAGGATTGGAGACTAGGTTGCCATTTTTAGAGTTATTTCTCCATTTATGACTTGATGTGGGTTGCACGCACGTAAAGGTTGCACCTTTACGTGACATTTGAGCGTTTGAAGGATAGATCTGATAGTTAGGGAAGCAGATCTGACCTTAGAAGGTCATTTGAGTAAGAATATGGAAGCAACTCGCCGAGTCCATAAGTGGACTCGACGAGTCGAGTCGGGGGCTGCCCCGCGATTCGTGACAGGTGTAATCCGTCGAGTGGGACAATGACTCGACGAGCCAAGAGAGGCTAGAAGGATTCAGAGAACCAGCATGGACTCGCCGAGTCGCCCATGTGCACTCGACGAGTCGGGTCAAAGTTTGACCGTTGACTTTCGTTGACCTTAGGGTTCTGGTCAAGACTGATTCAAGAGAGTTCAGGGAAGGGTAGAATGGCCTTCTACCCAATCTGTAGAGATGAGGCTATGAGAGAATCTTGATCTGGAATGTTATTTGAATAATAGGAGGAGGCTAAGTCGGAACGTTGAGCACGAGAGTTTATCCGACTTCATTGAGGTGAGTCTTCTCACTATACTGTACCTGGAAGGGTACCTATGTGTGACCGGAAGGTCTTGTATGCTATGAGATGTATGTGCTATATGCGGTTATGTGATATGTATGTGCTATGTATGTTATGTATGATAAGGACCGGAAGGTCAGGATGATATGGACCGGAAGGTCAAGTGGTTACGGACCGGAAGGTCGACACGGGTAGAACCGGAAGGTCTACCGGGATTCGGGACGGAAGTCCCCTGAGACACATGGATCGGAAGATCCTACAGAGTTATGGCCCTGGAAAGGCGTACGTGTTGTATGTGGTATTCTGGGGAACTCACTAAGCATTTATGCTTACAGTTGTTGTGTTATGTGTTTCAGGTACTAGCGAGGATCGCGGGAAGGCGCCGACATGATTCGTACACACTCATAGAGATTATGTTTTGAGATTTTGGGATTTGTTTGTTATGATGATATTGGATACAGTTTGTTGACATTGTTTTGATGATTGAAAGTATGATTTAAAAATGAAAAATTGTTTTGAAAATTTACGTTGTTACAATAAAAGGGAAGACATGGATGGCTTACCCATCAGTAAGATCCATTCACAGTGTGATCAAGTGCAGTTTCGTATAATATAATAAAATGTCAACTTATTTTATGCCATTTGAAATAAAAGAACAACTTAATCAAGTCGAATGACTATTCTCAACTTCATAATTTATTCTAATAGAATGTAATCCTAAAACTGTAATGAAAAAAAAGATGGGGTCTTATAGGCATTTCATCGAACAGTTAGAAGGCAGAAAAATTACACCGTTTATGTGGGGAGCATCATCAGCAATCGGCGGGGATTGCTGCAGAGGGTTATTGATCATAGTAGTCGGATCAAAATCCTCCGTTAAAGATTCGATCGTTTCCAGGTTGAGATTACGTAACATCATATCGATACTTCCAGACATTGTTGTAGCTAATTGACATGAATGGGATTAGTTAATTGGGTTGTAAACTAAAATCTTATATTAATTGTAAATAAAAGTTTGTACCTTTTGATGGAGGCGGCGGATCTGAGTTTGACGGGAAGTAGATGACTACTCGACGAATGTGGTTCTGGGCAAGCAAAAAGGAGTTCTTGGATCTGCGATTATTGTATTATATAGACAAATCGACTGTTGTGCGTGAAAACTTAATTTGAGTTTGGTTAATGTTTCTGGCAACGAAGGGGAAGAAGTGGCGACGATCGGTGGTTTTTTGT